CTGTGTGTTCACTCTGCACAGTAACACTCTGGAGTGTGTGTGTTCACTCTGCACAGTAACACTCTGGAGCATGTGTGTTCACTCTACACAGTTACAGTCTGGAGCACGTGTGTTCACTCTGCACAGTAACACTCTCCAGTCTTGTGAGAAATAACAGATAACTCTGCATGCTCTGCGCTGTTGCACCCTTGTGTATTCACTCCATAGAGCAGTTGCAAACCCACACAATACCAGTAACTCAACTGGATAAGATGGAGCCAAGCTATGTATTCTTCAGTCATAATCAAAAAGAAAACATGAAGCGGCCAAAGAAACACAGATTTTTAAAACAAACAAATATTCTGTAGTTAGTCTTGTGAAATGCATTTTCTGTAATCCTGAGATAACTGATCTCCCAGATCACCCAGAAAGGAATTACAGCAATCAGTACAAAATAAGTACAATTGTTTTATTTTTTTATTTTAATGTGGTAACTAGGAGATCCATATAGTTTACTCATCTAATGTCAAAATATTAAATTAAATCCGATCCTAAAAGACTGGCATTCCTTTCACAATGAATGTGCATTTAGAGCAGATGTGCAAAACCGTGTGATGTTCAGTTGGAATTTTGTATTTAATAAGATGGACTGTCCCCATTCGTCCTCACCCAAAGCAATGAAGACAGTAATTATACTAGATGATTCGTTCATCTGTAAATATATAGTTATATTAAAAAGATCATAATGAAAAACCGAATGAACAGCCTTTCTAATATAATTGGGCCATTGAATCTTAAATGTAGGAACTCATGGGAAATACAGAATTGCTATATTCATTTTTGCCATTGCTTGTTAAGTTCCTATTTATGAAATCCATTTTTTAATATTCTTTTATAAAACGGTATTAATTGATTAGCAAGAGGCTGTACTTAAAAAAAAAGTAGGAGTAGCAAAACCTGATAATGACCATTGGTTAGACTGATATAACAAAAACCAAGTGACCTGTAAGTTTAGTTTTGAAAGCTTTTGTATAGCATACAGAAAACAATTTCAGGGCAACTGAGCATTTGTGTGGTTGTAAGATTTGAAATGTCCTTCAGTTCAGCATCAAATAAATAAAGATTATGATTTTAAATGATTACAAACTAATAACTGAGTTAAAAGCTGCTCCAATGTACTGACAAAACTCTTAAGCTGAATGCTGGCACAGCAATTACTGACTTTATTCAAGATGCTTCTTAAAGCACTTATTTGCTTCTAAATGCTTATATGTTTCTTAAAGCACAATATTTTCTTTGCATGCACTGCATTCACAAAAGAAAAAAATGAAGGCTCAAAAGAGTTTTGTGTGTATAATAAGTCTTATGAAACATATAAGCAGGCTCTGACCAAAAGGCATTTTAATAAGATCACATACTGTAGGTCTGAATAAGCTCTGTCATTAAAAATGAAAAAAAAATCAATATCATCTCAAGAATGCCCATATTTCAGAGAAAGCTTTAATAATCTGACTTAAGAGAAGAAGGAAAAGGCTGTAATTAAGAGCTCAAAGAACAATTATATTGTCATCTTTGTTAATGAGTTTGGATGGTTTTGCTTCTCAGAATTATTTTTTTTCTTTTCCAATTTTAATCAGTAGCAAACCAATAGCAGGCTGAACTGCCAAAGCATCTTCGTGTTTTAGGTTTCACATTACAGGCCCTCTCTGTTATGGTGATATATTTCAAAGATTTCCTCAGCAGCCTTGAACACTTAGAAAGAATGCAAAACATGTATTATTTTGTTTTATCCTGGGCTGCAAACACTAGTGGGTAATGGATCAAAGATAACATGCTATTTGCTGTGAGATTCAAACATTCTGGGGACTAAGATCAATTTGTATTGACCACTTTAGGAGACAAGATGGGAAACATGTATCTGTGAAAATTGTATATACGTTTATAAATATATACAATTAACAACAAATAACTAGAATAATCTTAGTGATTGCATAGTCATATATGGCGTAGTGGTGATTGATTTATTGTGTTAGGCAATTAATCCAGGCCAGCTGGCAGCCTGAAATGGACTTCCCAGACTATAATTTGTGTTTTGTTCGGTAATTGGTCACAAACCTCATTTTCTGTCATTTTCTCAGATTTCAAGTGTCTCATAAGGCAATTTCAGGGCAGTAAAATTCTGTGACAAACCCAGCCCATTATTCAAATCCACCACAGACTCACTTTAAACTTTCACAATACTTTGCTCAAGCAAAATACCCTCTGCCTGACTGTACTGATGGATTTAATCTGCCACACATGCAATTCATTTAGAACAGCAAAAGAACACAGTGACATGAACAGCACAAAGCAAAAGCTTGTTTAGAAGTCTGATTTTGGCATCTTCATTAAGTAGATGGATTCATGGAACAGCACAAGCTCTACAATATTCTAGAAAATTTGCTAATTCATCTGGGAAGAAGTCAGATCAGCAAAATCCCCCAAAAGATAGAGGCCAAGCTCATTTCTAAGAAATGAATATTTCAGTTTGTAATAAGTTTTAATAATAAGACAAAGTTACAGAAAATTGTATCTGAATACACAAAATGAGAGATATACATAATACCAAGAATAAACCTTAACAATTAGGGGTAGAGCATTGCATACCTCTGGCATAAGATAATTCCAATAATGTATAAATGCTAATTAATCACCATGTGTCCTTTACACCTGTGGTTTGCAACACTTGCTGGTTGTTATTCGAACCGAGCTCTAAATCACCAGTGCTAACTGATGCCTTTAACTGATCTGCTTGCTTATTAAGACTTTTATCCATTTTTAAATAGATAAACACACCTGCATTTGTTAGATTTGATTTCTTATTTAAATGTGATGTCTCTGTTGATGTTACCACAATCCTACAACAACATTTTAAAGTACTTTAAGATTCCTCAACTGACTGCAGATTAAGAATAAGCTGAATACATTAGTCTTTCAACTTCATTTCAGATAATAACACTTTCGTACAATACACATGT